GTGTGTGAGATACCTTTATAACATACTAGTAGAGAAGTGCGTGAGATACATTTATAACATACTAGTAGAGAAGTGCGTGAGATACCTTCATAACATACTAGTAGAGAAGTGCGTGAGATACCTTCATAACATACTAGTAGAAAACTTGTTTCAGTCCAGAAGATGTGACCACTTTTCAAAATTATTAACAGGCTTTTACATCCGTCAAATTCGATAAATGTTTCTATATCCTTCAGCAATAGTTAAATGTGTCATTTCACAATAATTCTAACCGCTTTCAATGATTCTAAGATAATTAAAATAGTATATGTTTGCTTGGCTTCATAAAATGCAATTAAATTTAGACACGTTAGTTTTTAGCGCATTTTCTTATTTATAAAAAAGACGATTTCGTCATGTCCGTCTGTCTATCTGTCCGTCTGTCTGTCCGTCTGTCCGTGACTTCACGTTTTCGTCGACGAAAAAATTCGCTCTCTGTCACTCACTGCAGTGAGTACTGAGTTATTTTTTTCCTATTTTCTGACTTGATAGATAATATTCTTCTTTTATCAGTAATTCAGTATTAATCAGAAAATTTTACAATAATGAAGCAAATAAACATGTCGCTGAACAAAACTACTCGAGTCCAATAACTATGTACCTCTTTCAAGTTAGCTCTGCCCTTAGCATCAAAAAGCTGGCGCCGATTTACAAATCAACACCAAGCCAATAAAGAACAAAGCTTTATACCTCGCTACCGCCCATCCATATGAAGGCAAGATTTACTGCAAGAACTGATCAAGACTGAGAATTGGATTTTTGGTCTCGTTAGAGCAGGAGGCCATTAATGCAAACATCTTGGTAGTATTGCATCTTGTGAGTGAAGAGCAAAGCCTTAATGTTGTAGTCAGTGAAGCATGATCGACCTCGGGCTGCCAAAAAGTCTTCTCCGCAAAAAGCCTCGATGCTCTACATTGCTGAGGTACCGCATAATCTGATAGCACAACCAGTGTAAGCTACACTAGTTGTGCCGTGCACTTGTTCGACTTCATGGCGCGTTGACGCGCGCGATTTGAGGTGTTGCCTAACGAGAGCGCTACTCCCACGCGCGCCGCTCTCATTAGGCTGGGCGGTGGCGCGTAGCCACTGTTGCGCCGCGGCGCTTGCCATTTGCACAGAAACTTAGATAAGACAGTGTTCTGTAACGCCACATTGCTGGAAACTTGTCACAGACAAGAGGGCTGTGGATCCTTGTTTGCCACAGAATGCATTTCTTGGCCTGCCACATAGATAGGACAGTGGCCTCTGATGTGTCGCAGTGCTGGTAACTTGGCCTGCCACTTAAATAGGACAGTGGCCTCTGATGTGTCGCAGTGCTGGTAACTTGGCCTGCCACTTAAATAGGACAGTGGCCTCTGATGTGTCGCAGTGCTGGTAACTTGCCGGCCACTAAAATAAGACAGTGGCCTCTGATATGTCGCAGTGCTGGTAACTTGCCGGCCACTAAAATAAGACAGTGGCCTCTGATGTGTCGCAGTGCTGGTAACTTGCCGGCCACTAAAATAAGACAGTGGCCTCTGATGTGCCGCAGTGCTGGTAACTTGGCCTGCCGCTTAAAACAGGCACTGGTTTCGGTTGCAACACCAAGCCTGCCAAATAGATAAGAGAAGTGAATTCCGCGTCGCTGTTGAGTCTGCCTCTTGGTCAACAGCTCAGGAAGAAGAGAAGCGTCCGCTTCTCTTCTTCCGACAGGCGAGTTCTTCTTCCTGTTCGTCAGGTTCGCCTGTCGGTCTGCGCATTTCATTTCGATAAGATAATTTCTACCGGTGGACTAATAGGCTCGGAGCACCGAACTTAATATAAAATTTACAGCGTGTAAACTAAGAGTACTAAAAGTACGTAGTTGCTTAGAGATTTCCAAACGATACATGAAATGTACTATTAATTTCGTGTATGAGATTTTTAAAGCATGCAGCCTTGTGCCTATTATATATTCGTTTCTTTTCACCAGTTTCAACAGACATCAATATCTTGCAATTTGGAAATTCAAGAGCCGCTGTCCATGATCGAGCTCAACGTGCCATCATCGTAGACTGTAGAGCATCTTAATCAATTACGGGACTTTGCGCCAGATCGCCGTGGAATAAAATCATGGTACGTGGAAGTCGTGAATCTATTTTAGCTGCAACTAATTCAAATCAACACAAAGCCTGCCAATAGAAAAGAAATTCAGAATGGAAAGCAAGTGATAGAGCTTGATGAGGATGCTGCTAATACTAATATATGGCATGTGTCATACACATTTATTGCGTACACATTTATAATCACGGGCAGTCATCTTGCTGCCATCAATAATTCCCCACAGGCAAATCGACTATGCATTATTTATTTTTTGGTGGTTCACAAAAATATGGTGTAGTTATTGCAGTTAGATATTACAATTGATTACAGGCGTACTTTCTCAGTCACTATGACACCTCATCAGAAATTAGATTTTCTTCACAAAATGTAAGTCGCAAATAATTTTACCTTTTTAAATTTTAAAATTAACACGCTCGACCCAGCTCCTGAAATGTAACTTTTAGTTCCACCATTGCATGTTAATACTGTATATTTACTCGTGCTGTCAGCTCAGTAGGCCGAGCTCGTCAGGTCATATAAGAATAAGAAGAAGCAAAGTTTAATTGCTTAAAATACTGACCACATAACTTTGGCTATGTCAGCTTACTCATATATCAGCCCCTCCTAATAAGTAAAGGTAAGTATTTGAAACGAAAAAAATCGTTAAGTCAATCCAGATCGTAAATATTTCCTCCAAATACGAGCCTAACACAGAGCACTTCGTGTGGGGCATCAGCCTCCGGTTAGTCATGTTAGTGGCCATTGAAGCGTTCATTTGAATAACCTCTTTGTGGGGGACGTTTAAATAACGTCGCCGAGCTTAAGGCTTTGTGTGAAACGCAGCGTCGCGCCGACACCAACGATCTCTTGTAAAATCAGATGGCCGATAACAGAAACCGCGTAAATATAACACATAAATTATCGTTACCAGGGCACTTGAATGGACGTTTTCTGCACCCGACGAAGCATTGTGAGGTACGATGCCTTGTTATATAAAAGATTTCGCGTAGAGCTAAGCAAAAAGACATGGGTACTATTTTCGATATTTGGTGCTTGACATTTGGAGCGGAGTTTGTAACGAGAGAGAGGGGCAGTTTGCTCATTGTATAATTATAAGTGTCTCATAAGAGGCCAACAAATAGCCAGCGACGCTTTAAATCTTTTGCTCTAATTTTCAATTATATCCGATAATTCAATGCCGTGAAGAATGTAGCATATGATAAAATTCTTAGGTGTCGATATTTGCGCTCTAAAAATTTAAAGACGGAATTCACGAAATGTCTTGTACATCGGAGCAGGCCAGCGACTCCTAATGAAACATCTTGTACATCTGTGAAGGGACGACACCTGTAAAGGGATGATTCGTAACGAACAAAATGAACGACGGCCGCCCGCCGGTTAAACGACCTGAAAATATGCCAACCAAAATTTTGAGTTTGATTCCATATTTTTGTTTCGTTTGTATTTTAGTCTGCTTGTCTCCTCCACGCACAATTGGAACTAATCCATACACGTTTTTATAATCGTTACTGATGGTGAAGAAAGGTTTTGTCATCGTACTGTAAATGTTTCTGCCGTTAAGTTTGTTGACTGACCGCGATCTCATGTTAATTATACACGATATATTGATCGCCTGATTTCCTTCACTTGATTTTTTGTTATGGAAATTTGTCATAATAATAGACAGATTTAGAATGATCTAACACATTCGTTATAAAATCATATATTCTGTTTATGAATTTGAGCCTGAGTTTTAACTAATTAGTGCTCTCTAATTTGAAATTCGTTCTGAAACTCGTCACTTTTTTTGGTAAGACATTCATTTTGTTTCCATCGTGAGATATCACGGCAGCTACACTAAAATATTCTCCTGAATGCTGAGCTCTTTCAAATCATTTTTCCCTCTTTTAGGAGGCGGATATATTTTCGCGTCCAGAGATTGGACTTCTTTACGCGCCGAACACGCAAATCGCCGCAACTCGATAGATGAAAGTCTAAGTTTTTAGTCAAAAAATCCTCTTTAGAAAAGTCACACAGCAGCGATATTCCTAAACTAATGGTAAATCAGACCATTTGCTCCTTATGGACTTTTCATGCAAGACGCAAATACTAAATGATGGTGCGCTAATTTGTTAAGAATATGGGAATTATTTGCAAAATATTACGCTTTCATGTCATTTATTGCCTTCGCCGTTTCTAGTTGTACTGCCTCCTTTGATATTTCTATTGAAGCTACAAGGGACCAGCTATATTCCCAATGATGAAGTTTCACCTTCAACAAAGCACACACACACAATTATGATGTTAGAACAGGACGAGTTTCTATCAGCGCCGCAGCAAACTGAGATAAGGAACAGGTGGCGGTCTTCACAACCAATGCTGCTGTATCCCTCACATATTAACTTAATTACTAGCGTCAATCGTCACTAAAACCATAAGCCGTTCACCCTGCCGGAGCTGTAGAATCTGAAAACAGTATTAACCATTGCTGGAGCTACGATAACCTGTTTTCTCGTAAAAAATCGTTTACGTAATAATTACTAACCCGGTGAAAATTTTGTCACTTCTCCATTGCTGGCGGATGGCCATTGAAACAGCTACTACGAATTTTATAGATGAGTACCGCCCAAAAGAAACACGAGTTTAATTATTGGCACAAAATTGGAAACAAGAAAGTGAAAACGTGAAGTGTGGCAATCAGGCGCGTTGACTTTGCTGGTGACCTCTGACCCCAGAGGCTGCACGGCATCACTGCGGTCACCGGCACGATTTGTTGTTGGAATTTTTTTGAACAGAGAATTACAAAATATATTATAAATTTAATTAATAGAAAAATTCGTAATGAACTATTCCCGTTAAAAATATGAAGGATAAGGTCTTGAAAAGACAAAATAGTTCAATAATTTATTTTGTCAAATAACAATCAGTTTACAAGTTATTATTAATAGATATAATACAAGAGCCATCACATGAATATCTGCGCTGCCTTTTTACAATAATTTCATACACTTTATTTCAGTAAAACTCAGACCCGTTAAAATACAACGAACTAAAACTATGTCTTCTGGGCTTGCCGTCTTTCTTCTTCCGAATTGTGAATAATAAAAGTCGTATCCTTATTGTCTCTTCACTTGCAATTATGCTTGATTCTGATGCATTTCTAGACACGATTTAATCAAAAATTCCCGACCGCAACAGTTTAGGTATGTTTCACTTATGTCCTGCTCTAATAAACTTGGTTACTTTGTTAGGATACGGCACTGCACCGACGAAGGTAACATAATATAACGTCCCTGCTCTAATGAACCTACTTGGACATGTTGATGCGCGCCGGTGTTATTTTCATCTTCCTGCTTCTCTGCTGCCACATTCCGATCCGCACAAGCGATGCTGTGTGGTCTCGAATTGTTAACCTACTCCTAACAGCCACGTCAGCTGGGAGCCACGCGATCAGACGTAATCTCCTGCGCAGCAGCTAAATTCAAGGGAGTAGATTAATGAAATATTTCAGTGTTGAGTTCTCAAGTAATTGGTTATCAGAATAACAAGCAAATATTACTGTGGGTTGAAACTTCTCCCACCGACGCTTCACGCTCTCATTAGTGCAAACGATTCTCATTTTAAGTGCGAACAATTCAGATCGCAACTACAAACAAATTACGTGATAAGTTGTGAATATTATTATTCGCATGACGAAGACGGCATGCATTGAAGAGTCTAACAATAAAAATTTTTCATTGACATTGAAAAAAATGAGATAAATTCATACAATTTCTTTAACATAAGTGACATTTTTCCGACATTACTTTCCCGGCAATTAAAGGATTTAAGGAATGAGTGAGAGCCGGCGAAACTCGAGCCGGCGTTTCTTAAAGAAGTCGTAAAATAAATAAAATAAATACAGTGTATTTGAAGAGGCAATGACACCCTATTGCTACTTTTATTCTATCAGCAAAACTATCAGGTAGACCGGATTGATTCTGAGAAAATCATTTTTTGACTTAAATATTGTCAATATAAATACTATCATATTAAATTATGTTTTTGCGCCAAATTTTCAATACTTAAAGATTGCGGTAAAGTATATAGTTTTCTACTGAATGGGTTTCTTAAACTCATAAACGAAGGTAACAACATTAAAGTCTTTTATGAACATTAATCCTTACGAACTAATATTGCAATCTCCCGACCACAGTGGCACTATTTACATAGTGTGTCAAGTCTAATTACAAATAATAATAGTATTTTAAGTATTGCATCATTTAATAAACATCGTTCTAAACCAAATGCGTGAAATTATTGAAAATTATTCATGCATCATATAATTCCTGAATGAAGTCATTATATTATTTTGTAAAAAATTTAACAGCAAAGAAAATAGCCAGAAAATTCACCATTTCTCATTTTGTATTGTTTTTTTCCCAGTTTCGTAACCACGAAGAAAATTGCTACGCTTCCAGTGGACTACCTGCGCTGTCCGCTGCATGGGACATCACGTGCGAAAACGCAGAAAATAGTCAAGCCTTATTCACAATAAGCGAATATCACCACTTGTACATGTATGTACAGGTCTATGGGAATAAATAGCAATTAATGCAACAATATGTCTTTCATATAAGCTTTCTAAGGGCAGGAACCCCGTAATAAAGTGTATCACTTTCAATTTTTATCAACTGGTAAAAATGAACGGAATGAGCCATCGATCAATTGAGCTTAGTTTGACAGACTGAAATATTACTATGAACAATTGTTTGTTATTAGACACTTTTTTACTGCGTAAAGTAATCGAAACTTTGGATGAAGATTGTTATGAGTCATGATTGCTTATCCAGGAACTCTCTCTCGATACACAATTAAATCATTTGACAATTAAATCATTAAATTTTCCAAACAAAGTGCCATTTGTATACATCCTACTTAGTTATTTTACTTTTGCTGAGGTTAATTTGCTTAAAATTTTATTGGCAGGGGCCCATTTAACAGCCAGTAGCTACCTCTGAATTCACATTTACTTCTGCTGGTGCAAAAAAAATAATAATGGCGGCTTTATTTTGAAGGCACATCTTAATGTAATGACAAATCTTTTGAGTTATTATCGGAATTACTACCCTGACAAAATTTAGAGTCGCCCCAGGTCTTGGTAATCCAAATCAGAAGCTGATCAGAATTTTCACTGGGTACGAGAGTTACTCGACAGCGGCCGACTGCCTGGCGTCCAGCGTCATGGGGGAGCCGCTGTCACGCGTCTGCAGCGGCGAGCTAAGAGAGGGGGCGCCGCTCTCTGGGCTGACGGCGCTGCTGCGGCTCTGGGGAGGCGATGCTTCGGGGAATGACGAACTCATTTGTTTCTTATGGTGATGGTCAGTTAAACCATTATTGTTATTATTATTATTGATTAGAGATTGATTAAATCCGTAATTATTGTTGTTGTTGTTATTGCTGATGGTGTTGGAGTTGCAGTGGGTGCAGGAACGTGGAAACCCAGGGTAATGAGGCATACTGGCGAACGATGGCTGCTGGGCTTGATTTCTTAAAGCTAGAAAAGAACGGAGTTTCAGGGCCGGGCCGAGCTTCATTTTGAGGCTGCCCGTGAGATGAGATTCACTCAAGAGCAGCAGACACGCTCCGTCTATCCTCTGGTCTCTGAAATTCTGAATAAAAAAAGAGTTATTTGACCAATTGAATGTAATACAATCGCAAAATGATCAAATATGGATCAGATATCCAAAAAATTTCGAAAAAGTTTGAAAGCAAATTGATCAATACGTAGGTCGACAAAACAAGTAAAAGTTTTCTCTCAACAACAATATGTTGCTGCACTTACAGAATTAGCGCACAATTACTTACGACTTACCTCTGCATACTCAGCGCAAATGTCGATACTTCGGACGAAATCGTAAACATCGTCGACAGACCAAGTGAGCGAATTTTCTTTGGTTTCAAATGGATAAATATGTCGTTGGCATGGTGACCTGCACGGCTGTTCATTCTTGACATGAACAGGGGAGATGGTGACCGCAGGTGATGTCCGTGGTGCTGGTGTATCATCGTCTTGTGATGAGCGTGGCGCTGGAGTTTCGTCGTCTTCGACATTGATGTCGGACTCGGAGGTCCTAACATACTTGCTGGGAACCGCGGCAGACAAATCCAAAGGTGAGGATGAATGTGCAGGACGTTTGAGACCTCGAGAATTTTCCAACATTTTTAAACCCTGCCGCGATTCATCGGCGTTGATTTGCTTCTGAAATGATTGCAGCTTGTCTTTTTGCTGCTGAAGCTGCTGTTGGTGAAGTTGCTGTTGATGCTGAAGGAGCAACTGGTTCTGAAATTTTTGCTGGTTTTGTATTTCAGACGACGTTTTATGGAGTTGATTTTGATGCAAAGTCGAGGCATTGCGAACCATGTTGATCAGGACCTGGGTGGAGGAAAGTTCTAGTAGAGGATTCGACCCCAAGCCCGCAAAATTATTGGGCGAGAGTAAATGCTGTGGGATACCTGAAGACAATCCGCCACCCGCAACACTTCTTTTTGGGGAAGACTCTGGGGTTTTAATGTGGGACTCCATCGTTCTCTGGGACTGGATGGGAGATGAAGTGCCATCACTTGGAAGATTTGGTAAGAATCCAGTCGATGAAAATGCCACGGGTTGGATCGGTGGCCGGTGATAGCCGTTGAGGGGCGTGTTGGCATAAAACCTGCAAGCACAAAATTGAACAAATTTAATTAAACAAACAATAAGATATTTGATTGACCTTATTTAGGGTATAGATGATCACCCTGCAATACTGAAACGTGATTAACTAAAGTGTCGACAGTCCCAAGCATTGATGTAATTTTTCATTCGATTTATTTTATTCTACATTATTTATTCAACGATACAAAATTACAATTTATTGGATAAACATTAAGTTTTTGTCGACTTACTGCAGCGGGCTATTGGTGTTGTTGTTGTACTTGGCGGCCATGGAGCGCATGAGATCAGAACAGCTCCGCGGCATCGAGTTGGCGGGGTTGCGTCCTGCGTCGCCCCCAAACAACCCCATGGACCCCAGTGTCCCAGGTAGCCCAGGTATCCCCAGCCCACCCATGGGGACAGGGCTGAAGCAGGTGGAGTTCAGGGAAGCCGGTGATGGGAAATCGGGATGAGGGGAACTGCCGGCACGGGATGAGGGCACTTGAGGGAGAGTAACCGAGGGGGATTTTGGGGAGACACTCGGAGACCTTGCGTTGTTGGGGGTTAAACGGGAATTGTCCGCCCCAGTTTTATTTTCCTCTTGGGGTTTACGGGCCCTATCTTTGGCCTGGGTCCGCTTGAGGGCCTTAGAAGCCAAGGAGGTCGAGGGAGATTTGGAGGTCGGTGAGGGGGTATCGCTGGTGTCGGGCATGTCACGCTCAGACGATGGCGAACTTTGCTCTCGCCAGCTCTCTGCAGGAATTGAAGAACACGACATTTATGCGACGCAAATGTCACGAAGTTACAGAAGAATTATAAAATTAATGTTCCAGAATTTTTTGCACCCATCATATAGTAATAAAATTTGAGTATTCTTAAAGCATTCAATAATCATGGTTGATTAGTTGTATGTATCGTGAAATAACCGGAACTAGGAATACGAAAACTTAAATGATAGCGAGCAAACTAAAATAATAATCATAGAGAACAAAAAGAAACAACAGCCGTAGCGAAATGGCACTTAAAACTGTTTAATACTAGAAACGGTAGCAGCCAACTCATATAGGAAAACAAATGATGTTTTCTTGAAATTGAATTTTTTCGACATCTTAAACCGCTGCTGCTAAAACCGATGATCTAAATACGCAATGCATAAAGAATCAAAATGTTACGGCGCGCTTTATATGTAGTGTTGCATTTACTATTAGTGTAGAGGTAGCGAGAACTCGTCACAGCCACAACGTTTCATACGTTGTACATTGTCATCTTACAGTCGCCAACACATCATGCAGTCTTTAATACATCCAAAAGTCATCATTACATCTATCGTTTTCTGTACTACATCCCTCTACCTTTAATTCTCTAAGCAATTTTTAACAAATCTATCAGTCGTGTCAGATGGAAGCGTCTAGTTGTAAGCCTTGGGAGGGTGGGGGCTATGGTAGCTTATCAGCAGAGCGGTCAGTGAGGGAGCTTGCAGTGGTCACGTGTGGGGGAGGGCGGGGAGTTTTTCACCCACTTGGGTACAGTCACGTGGAGTGAGAGCGGAGCACGTGATGGCTGGAGAGCTTACGTGCTTGCCGGTCACGCGATACGTGACACGTCAGCTTAGTCTGATTCAACTCACCTCATCCAAGCATAACCAACGTGAAAGCAACATTTTAAAGATTTTATTTTGTATATGGAATTAGGTTTGGACCTTTTTTACAAAGGTTTGAGCGCGCGTACTTTTTTTACAGTACAACCTAAATGAGAATATCTATACTAAACACATTGCATGGCTTATGGCGTCGATATTAACACCGCTATGTCAATGTATTTATTAATAAAATCGTGATAATTTATGCGCATTCAAGCTAGAAATAACAAGTCATTCAAGAAGTCAGGCCGCGTATGTTCCCTAAGTGATGAGAGATGAAGGCAAGAATTCAAGGGACGCGTACACTGCTGTTGCAACATTTACTATCAACAGTGCATTTAATAACGGTTCAGCAAATTGTTTACAAATCTTTGATTACGTTTTTACATACCTTCTTCATTTTAATGGGAAATGTATAGTTTATAGAAAGAATTGTTGCATTATCAATTATTAAATTGCTGGGCTCCGCAAGACACTCTCGCATTTGAAAGCTACACGACTAATGAACAAGAGAGCATAAAATATGTGTATTCAAGTGTAAAATATGTGTCTTCGTTTCTCGCGCAGGCAGGAGACTATATTCGTGTTTTCGAGTGGAGCATTTAAGGCAGATCTCAGGCATGAAAGTATAATGTACAAGCCATAAGATGTAGCAGAGGAAATATCTGCAACGATGATTCCCTCCATAAACGGGAATAATTGTTCTGTTCTACACGAGTTTTACATCTCCCCAGTATGCAGCTCCTGTTTCTTATTCCATGCAACCATTTACACGTATCCATTTACATGCCTCCTATACGTACGCCTGCAAAATTGTCTTCTTTTTGTCATAGGACGTCGTATTTTCTGGCAATTGGAGCACCCGTGACAATAAGAAAATCCACAATAACAGCGGAAACGAAGTAAATTGGCTTCTTCGAAGCGGAGCAAACGAAGTAAATGTGGGGTCCAGCAGCACTGTATATATGCTGCTCGTAATTCCTCCCATGAACAAGTGGCATAGCAAACGAATATTGAACAAAGCTATATAGCCGTCCAGCCTAAGACGTGTTGCCGCTGGCTTCATCAGCATTTGCTGGAAGCAGTTTGCTCCATTTTACAATTTTTGGTCTATTATATATTAACTCTCTCTGTATATATAAATTAGTCTTTATTATTGTGGCAATACCGACTTCTAATAATTTCAATAAACCATAAACGTACAAGCTCCGCAGATCTTAAAAAATAGAACACAAGCAAAACGTATAAGCCTTTGCGGCAAATTTTGATTTCTCCAAAGTTTTCTTTGCCATTTTCGTTTTCAGAGCAGATACAATCCGAATTCAAGTAACACAATAGTTTTCAGGTTGCAGGCCCAGGCTATATATACTATGCGCTGTTGTGAGCTCCGACAGCCTTGTGTCTGTGATGAATAATGTTGAATAATGTTGTCTCACAATTTTTTGTAGTTAATGTCCGGCTTGCCAATTCCAGATCGAGAATGTCTTGAATAGCTTTTACATTTTCTCTCAAGTTACTTTCATTGTAAAGTATGGCGCATCCTTCTTTTGTGAGTTATATTTCTGGTTTTGAATATTAAAAAATAAATCGCTTGAACTGCACCGTAATTCATCTGAGAATAATGACGATAACTCTTCATAAATAATGCATTGAGGCTGTCATCTGATGTACAATTTGATTTAGTGCCGATCAGAATTTGTGGTTAGTACTCGCAGAAACATAATTTAGAACTAATAATTTTATTATATCCTCAAATAGTACATTAGTTTCATATTTTATTGCAGTATCAAAACTTACCAATTTTCTCGTTTCAGCTCCTGACGCGCAGGCATGCAATATTCAGATGCATAGCATCTTCTGTTATTTGTTATTATACTCTATACTGATCGAAGTATAATATGGTAGGACACTTGAGATTAAGCCAGCTGATCTTGAATGACTTACGGTAAGTAGAAAATAAAAATAATGTTGTTTCCCCTTGTAACATTCGAATGCCTCACCTTACTTGTTCTCTCCAACTAATTTTACAAGCAAATGATGTATGGATGGGTGGTACACGCTGCCATGTAGTTGCCATTCAAATGTGTTAAAAAGCAAGCATTGAATACAGAAACTAATACCTTCGTATTTTTCCGCAGCCATAAACTATTATGAAGCAAACACGAAATTTTCAGTGGACATACGCAATTGCGTGACCTTTCGCTGGCGTATACGCTTGCGTAGCGCCGCCACGTGCGTGTGGACACGAGGCGCGACCTTTGCGCGGTGCGTGAGGCGCTGCGTGAGGCGCTGCGTGATGAAGTCACCCGTGGCCTCTGAGGCCATAGAGTTCAAAATCACTCAAAATTTCTTCAATAATATTCAAATATTGCTTATGATTTGTCGTAAACTTGCTAATTATTACTGAAGACTTTCATCATAATTTGCTGTTTTCAATTCAGGATCTCAAGAGTCTCACGAATCTATAACTTTGCACTTAAATTAAAGATAAAATAAAGAGATACGCCGAAATATATTTCTTTCAATTTGCAAATCTACATCAGAGTGATATTGTAAGCAAGAGTAGACGGTATTATTCATGTAAACTTCCCGTAGTGGACTGAATTTTCATGTAATTTATACCACAGACAAACTGCTCCGTTATTTTGTTGATTGGAAGCCGTTCTAACTCCTTCTATACCTGAGGAGTGCATGAGTACCTAATGTAATAATCAAACGGAAGCCGATGGAAGTCGTATCGTTTTAGTTTATATATAATTGTTTTATTTTTAATTTGTACGATGCAGAAACCCGAAGAAAACTCAAATAATATACTTGCTCCATTAAAAAAATATCCTTATATACAGGAACCCTGCATTAGATGGTTGGATATTTTCTGTTTTTAGCGAGGAAATAAAGGAAATTCCTATTGTAAATGACCTCAAACCTCTTGCATATCTTCGCATTGCAGCGGCCACATGTCATCTTATAAAGTAACGTCAACATCGTATAATTCATAGACTTATTATTCATTTATATGGCGCACAAGCGCATTCTTCTTGATACTTATTAGCAAAAGAGTTCTGTATTGTAAAGCAGATAGAAATTTCTATGTGTCAAGACACGTTTGTATCAACGATACAGCCATTAGGAAAATATGAGGCATATTTTTGAGAAATATAAATGATTAATGAACCTGAGAATAATTCTGCGTTCTCTAGTTCATCAGTGGCAGATCACGGATTAACAACAGATAGTCCTATTATTAAAGGAGATAGTATGTTAGGGCAAGCTTTTAATTGCCGCTAAAGTTGATTGGTTAACACGTGACCTCTGGGTGTACAGGGCAGGTAGCGCGCCGAGCATTGCTGGCTGCAGAGATGATCTCATCGCCTGCATCTGGAGCACTCATGGCCCTTCACTCAATTATAGTCCATTTCAGTGCTTAAAAAACTTCCGATGAATATTCATTTTAATCTATATAATGAATCATTCATATTGCAAGAATTTGAGCTTTAACTTCGAAGGTCAGTACGAAATATAGACTGCATATTAAAGCTACCTTAAGTCCATTAATAATTTCAATTTATATTCGGGATCGTTTGCACATGACACCGTTGTTCGTCATTATTTAATGAAATAAATTTTCACGACGTACTGTACGTGATTCGCGCCTAGTGAATTTTGAATGTGTTATTATTGGCGCACCTAGAAGGCCTCACATTACACTGAGTTTTCAACTGGTAATTAGAGTGACAAGCGAACACCGAAGCTTGAACATTTGTTAACTATAGGCCTCCACAGTGTAAGTACATCAGTGATGAAGTCCCAATAACCTGTATTTTCGAGGCGACACATAGAAAAATCACTATAAAGACCAAATGACCGTTACAAAATTCATCACCAAGCATCTCATGCTACCAATTCAAGTATAACAATATTGTAGAGTAACTTCGAAGTTACATCGAGAACCTCTTTAAATTCGAGTAATCAAGGAGAGTAAAGGAAGTCAAAATAAATTGGACAGACACATTTTGTGTTATTGTTTTCTTTAGCGCAAACTTTACAACTTTTAAGAAATGATTTCCAGAAACATATTTGAATTAAATTTTTTGTCATAGATTTAATCTCTTCTATGTATCTGAACGCACGTCATTCAACGGCCGTCGACGTACTAACCTAACGCTAGAAAGCGGATGCGTGAAAGTTGTAACATTATTTCTCTGAAGAATGGACGACGTAATGGAATTACCCTGAAGACGCTAATTGGTTGCGGCATACTTTAGGCTCAAATTTATTTCATTCATGAATTCGTTCGTATATTAACTAAATTAAATTACCAGGGAACAATTTCAAATTTTATTTAATATTATTATCCATATATGTCAAAATTGTTAGACAGTTGTATAAAAAATTTTTTATGAATGGTAAAATAATGAGCTTTTTAGCAAATGAACGTATCATCATAACGCCGAATTCCTAGAACAATGCTAATAAATTAAGTGAACTTGCATCAGGTTGTTAATAGATTTCCATGGTTATATTCCAATACTAGTTTATCGTTTAACGCAGTCATACTTCAATACTTTTAGAAATACAGTTGCCATTACCGAACTAGGATTAACAAATTTATTATACTAATTAAGAATGATCGGGCGATTCCGTAAAAGCGAGCCATTCGGAAGCTTTGTCGGGGAAATCATTCGCAAGTTGAAATATTTTCTCTGTCACTGCACCCAATAATTAAGTACATAAATCTCGTGGGCACTTCCATCTCGACATAATCTCATCCCAAGTTCATAATCCAAAAATGTAAAAACTCATGAGCTAAATTTCTGACATTCAAACGGCCATTCATTTCGATATAGAAGCATTTTAAATAAACTGCGAAAATTAAATACAAAAAAAATCCATTATTGTAGTGTCCAGTAATTCTAAATTATTTTTACCCATTTTCCTAAAGTTTTTTAATTACGTTAGGTACAAATAATAACTTACGTTACTCTATCCCGTTATAATTAGTATACCATTAATCGAGCATTAGTACTGTACCCGTAGTACAGTAGAGTATTCTACTACTAACCCTGCTAGTAGTAGAGTATTGTACTACTAACCCTGCTAGTAGTAGAGTATTGTACTACTAGCCCTGCTAGTAGTAGAGTATTGTACTACTAACCCTGCTAGTAGTAGAGTATTGTACTACTAACCCTGCTTGCTGTGCTCAGCGGCCCAGTGCGGGGGGTGTCCGCTGCGATGGACAGGCCCCACGATGGTCAAGTTAGTCATGGTCTGGACGGTGGACGACTGGCCACCATCTGACTGGTAGTGGACCGCTCGCTCGACTCATTCATTGCTGGCTGACATCACATCAGTGTGTACGTTTATCAAAATCAAAGTTTTATTGTTCAAATATTTATTATAGAATTACCAGGTATAAGAAAAATATATTTTTTTAATTCTTCCGTTTGAAAAATAAAAATCTGTAAATCAGAAGTACCTGCAATCCAATTATGTTGTGATGATTTCGTGCTACACGATAAATAATGAACACAACTTAGGACGATATGGCGCTATTGCGAGTCACCATTAATTGCTTTGCACCAAATGTTTGAAAACACGATTGAATATTAGACTCAGACTTAATAGCTGCCGGATAAATTAAAATATCCTCTTACGTGAGAATCGAAATTATTCAGCTGCACGTACTAGAGTGTTATTGCTACTTCTTATTTTGTTTCAACACTTCAATCAATTTCATAATTTTGCCGTCTCTAATCTCACACTTGACTTTAAAATCTGTAAGACACCAAATCACGACAAAAGAAGGTGGCATAAAGAACCCATTCCTCAATTTCACTGTCAAGTTAATCACTCTGGACCGTTATTTGTTCAGCGAACTTTCTTCAATATCTCGACACTAAAGCGGCGGCAGCGAGGGAACACACGGCACTGGAGAGCAGTCGCTCACACAACCTCCCTTCAGCACGACTGCCACTCCACTGCCAGCCACTGCACGGCAGTAGCGCGGCACTGCCGCAGTTCACACGCAGTGGTCGGTCACTCGCATACCGATTGAAAACCATCAGCAGTTTTCACAATGCGATATTAGTTCGATGATATACAATAGGTTAAGCAATTACGTACGCTGCTGTAGCAATGCTGCGCGCTGTTCATAGTTAGGCTGGGAAAATTCGACATACTACCTGGGAAATTAACGGATGAAGGGATGTGAATATGAGAAGGGGTTTGAACATACATGAACGAGTGAAGTGCTGGAGTAGAGTTATAGGACTTATTGAAACGTTACTAAAATATACTAGATATTTTTTCTTATGGTCGAATAAATCAGTCAGCCTAACCATCGTCATGAACAGAATTAATGAGCATGCAAATGCAATAAATTAGTGCGGAGAGCAGCGATAACCGAATAATTCACTAAATAATAAATTCTATGATGATCTAATAGAAAGATTTCATAAACGCTTGAACAGCCTATGAATCAAGTGTCACTAAAATGCCTCCTTATAACGAACTGAATTAGTGAAAATAGTAAAAGAAATTGTACGTGAATCAATACTTCGAGCGACCGCGTTGGCTAAATTCCAGGCTTCTCGCAACAAGGCGGACTCTTGAGCGACCAGAGATTTTCTGGAGACTGCACCGCTGCTGCAGTAGTGAGCCAGAGACACATTACTTCTAAATGATGCACCGTTAATGCAGCAATTAGCCATGGCATCAGCAAAAACACATTTAATACTTTGACTCCGATGTGGTACATATGCATACCACAAAATCTATTTCTCCAGGACGTAGTGGTATATAATTCAGGTAGCCTAAAATCGGCGAAATCCGAGAACAAAAAAGGCAAGAAAATGCCGATAACTGAATATATACTAGTTTATTTGTAGGTTCCGCTAAAAAAATTCTATTTTTTATTTTTTTTGCAGTATTCAAAATTTAATTAGGAAGTACCCCTATCATAAATTTTAGCCGGCCAACGCAATTGAAAAAAAACTAAATCACGGAATTTGTCCGGAAAAAATGACCGTCAGGCAACCTTGTTTGAAAACAGTACAAAAATTTAAATAATAGTACAAGATGAAGCAATCGGAGTCAAAGTGTTAAGTACATAAAATTATGCTTGCTATTTATTGTTTTGGAACACGAAAGTTCACATGCATTAAAATTTCACTTGCACCGAGGCTACTTGTTGCCGAAAGAAACATTTTTCCCAATTGCGAGCATAACTAAATCAGGAATTGTTGTATATATGTTGCAGTCAGAGAATTTTTTTCCTGTAAAAAATAATTCCATTGTAATATACGTTATATATTATTAATTCTAATGTAATATATTACAATGATATATATTCTAATAAATACCTAAGAATAAAAATAACATATTATTCACCAGATAAATATTATGTTGTATGTAAATCAATCTCTATTATGATATGATCAATAAATTGTTTGAAAACTTAACACGCTTCTATTTTCAAGATTAATTTTGAAACTTAACACACTTCTAGTTTCATTTCCGAATTAGTTTACTTTATTGAATAGTAGAATAGTTAGTAGAAGAAATATTAGCCTCATAGTGTGGAAACTTAAACTTGAGTCACGACGAAGCTCCGGTCAAGGATTGACCTGTACGCTATCACCCCATCACCTCTGCCACTCCTTCCGGCCATTGAAATCCTGCGGTTGATCCTGCCTGACCTGTAGCGACCATGGCTGGTCATCATACGGTGTTGCCAACCTCTTGACAGCTGCCATCAACTTTATGGCAACTTTTACATGACTTCGGCCTGACCCTTACATTTTATAGCAACTTTCTCGTATGAAATAATCGTCATTCCAAAAGACAACAATTAACTGTGTTTTGAACCCACGTATGAAACTTAATCGTATTCTGGAAAATTGTCAACTTCACACCATGGTCACTGTGGTACAAACTAATTATTTTATCATCAAATCTAAACAACTTCCTGTTAAAGTTTGCACAATAACATGTGTGTGTAAATAGCGTGTATGCAGAACTGTAGTAATAATATGCATCACATGGATTTGCTGTCACTTAGTCGCGAATTTTGGTGACTTATGCTTTAACTCTTTGCCTACATGTAGATTAAGTTTTTTATGTCAGATGAAACGAAATGGTAACTAGCGTTGCCGCCAGTAGATATAAGGTCGCTGTTGCCGCCAGTAGACATTGCGTCACTGTTGCCGCCAGTAGACGTAGCGTCACAGTTGCCGCCAGTAGACATAGCGTCACAGTTGCCGCCAGTAGACATAGCGTCACAGTTGCCGCCAGTAGACATAGCGTCACTATTATCGCCAGTAGACATAGCGTCACAGTTGCCGCCGGTAGACATAGCGTCACTATTATCGCCAGTAGACATAGCGTCACAGTTGCCGCCAGTAGACATAGCGTCACTGTTGCTGCCAGTAGACATAGGGTCACAGTTGTCGCCAGTAGACATAGCGTCACAGTTGCTGCCAGTAGACATAGGATCACAGTTGCCGCCAGTAGACATAGGGTCACAGTTGCCGCCAGTAGACATAGGGTCACTGTTGCTGCCAGTAGACATAGGGTCACTGTTGCCGCCAGTAGACATAGGTTTAATGGTTCCTGCTTCGTATTATCTCACAAATATTACATGTTTTAAGGCTCAATGCAGTCCTTCATTTTAAAATGGAGTGTCATTGAGATATTCATGATTTTTTAGAAGAGCGAGAAGATTTACTGGGTTCGTTATGAAGGCGGTGAGTATGTGAGTGCTGAAAGAGAGATGCTGAAGCTTATGGCCCCATAAATTACTCACGCTCGATTGAACACAATTATCCACATTTGCAGTGTGAGCTTCGAATCTGACGGGCTTTACCGTTCTTTATGAGCATCAGATATAGAGAAGTTACATTTCACAGGTCATACATCATTAAGTTACGGACATTATTTTCCAGTACGGATTATGCATCCATTGGGTTCTATACTTTCAGCATTTAGAAAGGGAAACCTTGTAAAATTGCATTCGAAGCAAGGAAGGAGCTTCAAAATATTGCAAAATCTTAATTTTGATTCCACTTTATTGTGAAAATTCTTTGAAGAAATTTTTCAGATCGTTGAATTTTTGCCGTCTATAATATATCTAAAGAAATTAGAGAGAACACTGAAATATTATTGAGTGCTGGAACATTTGGGACCTACGAAAACATTTTAGGGGATCTGGGAATATTTGTGACCTGCATTTTTTCAATATTTTAAAATCGTATTTTAGGTGGAAATAAGGCTGAGTGAGAAAGATTATCTGGAGTGCTAATTTATTCCCTTTAATCCTATCTATTTTTTCCGTGTTTCATCAAAAGTGCAACTAATTTTATGAATTTGTAGCATAGAAGGGGAAAAATTAAGGTGTAGGCGTAAAATTGAAACATTTTAATAATCGACATGACCGTTCAGGGAAATATACGATGAAGCTTTAGCCTGAGCTCATATTTTTCCTTTCAATATATAAACAGTATTTCCTGGTTATTTTGTCATGCGTTTGAAAATAATTTATTTAATATATCAAATACGCTAAGGTTACTCTCGGTCAGAACATTATACGTTATTTATGCATTCACTCAAATATTGGATTCCTTCTCAACTTTCAAGTGACGTTCCAGTTATTATTTTCCTGCGAAGCGATTATCCTGGCGTCTTGTCCTAACAAACTTCGAGGGCACGTTACACATAAGTAAGTTACACGCACGTTACACATAAGTAAGTTACACGCACGTTACACATAAGTAAGTTACACGCACGTTACACATAAGTTGGAAGTTACATGCACGTTACACAGAAGTAAGTTATACGCACGTTACACATAAGTAAGTTACACGCACGTTACACTTAAGTAAGTTACACGCACGTTACACGTAAGTAAGTTACACGCACGTTACACTTAACTAAGTTACACTCACGTTACACCTAACTAAGTTACACGCACGTTACACCTAACTAAGTTACACGCACGTACACTCAAGTCCTCTCTACTACACCATCTCAGCAAACGATGTTCATTAAGTTTGACTTTTAACGGAATATGGCAAAAGATATGCTGGAAGTCAAACATATTTCTCGTTGAACATGAAGCTCCATACGACGACCGTGCTCGCACTAACATATGGTTGTGGTTACTACTAATACTAGTTATACTAATATATGATCACAATTGTTGTTAATTTTTCTTTTATGCACGGAGCGAAGTAAATGGCCACAGAGCGCTCAGTTCCAGTTCTTGATCGAGTGCCGCGACACAAAGCTCAGCTCGGTGTAAATTTGCAGCAGCTGACCGGCATGAAAAAGCTGATCGGTCATATATTACTTAATAATCAATAACTTTGGAATTTAGTTTGGTCTGTAAAAGTATTGCCGCATAATTGGCCAATTTACACTAAAATAAATAGTTGTTAAAATTTGCAGCACAAGACGCATGTAATATAATATAATTCAATATAATATAATATAGTATAATATGATAATTTCATGATATGTTTATTCTTCAACGATATGACAGCGCCTGTCGCAGACTAGTTATATTAATAAATTAGATTAATTCATATTTCTTTATAATATAAAACAAAATAATATAATATAATGAAGCAATACTCATCGTGGATAACAATAATAATATAGTTAATAAAACTATGATATAATCAATATGATATAATTAAAAAATAATATAAAATAATATAATATAACATAATATAATATAATAGAATTCAATCTGAACAATAGAACCTAATTAAATATTGTTAAGCATAATTAAAGAGCCCTTTTGTCGCCTCCTGTAACATAATTCTCGCACCTCTGGTCTTTTCAATTCCACAGCTGGCACTCCTCGCTTGTCCATCTCACAAAGAAGCTTTTATCACTTGTTTCCTCAATACGGTCTGTAATTCATTAGATGCATATTACTAAAAGAACTATTTAGTATTCTACTTGCTAAGCTCTGCTTAATTGCATATGAAAGGTTTACGTGAAATCACTGGTCACATATAAACAACATAAGCCAAGGGTTTCCTAATCCATGGCGTAATTGGAAGTTTAGCATTTCAAAGAGCTATGAAGCTGCAAAGTAGTTTTGATTTATTCATGAACCATCAAGTACTATTCACTATTACCTACCAAGTTTATTACTATTCACTAACCTACCAAGTTTTACTATGCAGTGTCGGACTATGCGGATTCCGGATTCCAGTTTCCTTCTGGTCATAAAAGACTTGTCGGTTCGTGCATGTTTTACGCAAAACCAAACGAACGGTCAACTGTTGAACAATGTGTAGTTAAAGCAAGTCGACACCAAATTATTCGACTATTAAACCACGATCAGAAATCCTGGAAAGTTCCGCAATTAATGATGCAGGAGAATATGGGAAGATAGATATAAAGAGAGATATATTGTTTAATAAAAACTTCGTTATTTTATTGATGCTGGTGAATATTAATTATTCATCGTTTGTCTTTTCAGGAAAGCCTAATGCCAGCGATAAATTATCGGGTGCTCATGCATTTGAAATATATCGCAATTTACAAGCCGGAGGCAAACATAAGAACTTAGGGTCTACTATATCACCCATTTACAATGACCTTAAACTGCCGCTTTCACACCGAATAGTAGAAGTAAGAAGTAATAGAAATAATCAAACTCGACAAGACAGCCACAGTTGCACGACCAAGCCTGTCACACGTGCCATGGTTGTCGCTGTCTCATTTTTCAAAGCAGTAATTATTGTCAAGGCCAGTCACAGTATAACCTGTTAAGGCCAGTCACAATTGGCCGTGAGAGTGACAATAAGCTATGCCAGTCACAATTGGCCGTGAGAGTGACAATAAGCTATGCCAGTCACAATTGGCAGTGCGAGTGACAATAAGCTATGCCAGTCACAATTGGCAGTGGCCGTGAAAGTTACAATAAGCTCTGGCCGCCACAATTGGCCGCCACAATAAGCTCTGGCCGCCACAATTGGCCGCCACAATAAGCTCTGGCCGCCACAATAAGCTCTGGCCACCACAATAAGCTCTGGCCGCCACAATAAGCTAGTCAGGACGGGCCAGACTGCAGGCTGTCAGCCCGCGCAGCCCCCGGGGGCGGCGCAGGTCAGAGGTCACCGCAGTTGGAGCGCACGCGCGGTGTCGGCACGCTGCAAATGGCTGGCTTGCTGTAATTTATTTCCTTGGCAATGGGACGAAACTCGAAGACTGACATGCAAATAAAACCTCAACTGAGTGATGAGTGTTGACACCGACCGTTGATTTGTTCTACATAAATTGCTCCTCATTCACGAAATCTACGAAATGGTCGCTTAGGAAATGAAATATTGATAATTATGAAGTTATTTATCCCGCGTGTATAATCGTCGCAGTGTTGTTCGTCATTTTGAGGTGTAATTATCTGCTGTAACTTTTGTCGCAGTAACGGAAAGTGATTATAAATTCAAACTTATGGTTTCTAGACTTCCTACTCCACTCAGATGCAACACACCAGCGAAATATCGGCAGAATTTATCAAATCCTTCGGCAGAAAATTTTACTAGCGTGAAAAATAACACCGGTTGCTCTGAAGAAGCCAATGATAATTATCATAAATCCTGCTGTTATAGGAAATAACTCTTCAAAAATTAAAAAACAATTGTATTTCAAAAAAATGTGGCACTGATCTCATTAACTTTTGTGCCTAATTATATTTCTTATTTATTAGTAGATAAGTCATCCCAGGTATATTTGATTAAAATTGTGCTGTAAGCTCCACATTTGAACATCATTTCCTAATTTTTCCCGACGTCTCGATGATCAGTAATATCAATTGAGAGTTAAACTCATTTATGACATATCCACACAACCAATAATTTTTTTGTGTGTCAACGAATTAGAATGCGATGAATTTTCATCTTTTCACTTCATAATAAAAAACAGTATCGATCAGATGTGCTCTAATTAAGCTTCAAACTCGCTACATCCTCTCCAAGAAATAAGACTTTCACCTCAGCCATCGAGAATACTTCATTGAAAATTTTCCATAATGTTTGAATATATTTTCAAACTCGTCATTTTCCGGTAAGGGCTTCTATGATACGCAACATTTAGCAGGCATGACGTCGCCGTTATTTTATGGTTTTATCAACATACCAGTTAATTTAAAGTCAATAAAACTATTCATCTGCTGCATAAAATGGTTGTCTATTGTTGTCTAAATATCCTTGCAGGATTGACCGACAAACAGAAGCCATAAGAAAGTAAATGCGTAGTTGAGATGCCTCTTCTTGTTCACCCTTGAATAATCTTACACGCAAATCATAAGCATTAAAACAATGATTGGTCTCAAAATGCTCACGAAAAAAAAATTCAGAGGTTTGTTGAAAAATATAAAAATGCAAATAGGTACATATGAGCACTTTCGCCGACTAATCATTTATAATGTTATGTAATTATAACAAAGAAAAAGAGGCGATATTCCTTCACTATTGATGTTCAGTCATCGAGCTGGAGTGTCAGCCTCACAAGAGACGGCAGCCTCACAAGAGACGGCAGCCTCACAAGAGACGGCAGCCTCACAAGAGACGGCAGCCTCACAAG